ATACAGAATAAATAAATAAATAAATAAAAATGTAGCGCAGTGTTGCAGGAGACATTGTTCACGTTCCTGACACAGCGTGATAAGTGTTAAGTGCTCCGGTCCCTCATGGGCTCCTCACACCCCGAATGTACATGTTCCTTTCCTGCATCTTCTCTCCTAGATTGAATTTACCTTATCAGCAATCTCTAGAAACTGGTCCAGTCTCCTCCTGGGTGGATTGCTCACTGTATGGATTTTTATTTTATTTTAGCCGTGGTGAATGATGCGCTTTGGATGAACACACCAGTCAAGAGATGTTTTGGGCAGTTCTTCAGCACCAGAGAGGTAAAGTCGATACTGAAGATATTCCCTCCCAGAAGGCCGGGGATCAAACTACAGAGGCAGCTGTTGGATATAAAATCCCACTCAAACATCAACCATTCCACTGGCTGCAAATACACTACACATGCTAAGACAAGGCCCTTGAAAACCCTTCAGTCGAGGCTTAAGGGTGGATGTCAGCTCCGCTCCTGCCAGCTAAACAGCTTTGATTTTCCAAAACATGTCTTGGATCCTCAGAGCAAACACAAGCTTTAAACCATAGACTCAAACTACAAACACAGAAAAAACTCAGCTTCCAGAACAAGGCAAATAGAAACAGAATTGGGTTTTTTTTTTTGACTGTTTCAGTCAACAAAACCTGTTTATACCAAGAATATTATGCTTCATTTGGTTTTGTCTACAATAACCACTCACGGCAACCAAAGCATCATGTGTGTTTTTATAGTTATGTTTAGGTGAATCCACACTTGGTAAAGATTAGGAAACGATGTTGATGTTGTTTAGCTGCGGAATCATAAATGTGAAAGTAGAATATTCAGAGAATATATTAAAGAGTTAAATTCAATACTGTTTGATTGCTCACTGTGGTGACATACACGTTGGTGGAATTAGTTTACATATGCTTAAAGTTACAATGAGGAAACATTTAAGAAATACCACAGGGATCAAACAGCACACTCTCTTTAATGAAAACAATGAGCCAATACATTAGATTACATGGCTGTCATGCCCAGCTATCACTCAGGCGCAGTCCCTAATCCCACAAGAACAACTGCAGCCAACAGCTGCACACTTCCTGCCACATCCAGACACGCCCAACAGCCGAGGAGCACAGGCATTCAGCCCCGGAGACAGATGAAGGAGAGGTCAGGGACCACCACCATTATTTACATTCAGGACATTCACTCGCTGGGATACCTTGCAACTCAGTTTTGGAAACTTAACCACTTCAGTGCTACTTTACAACTGATCAAAGAATGAGCAAATGAGATGGAGAAAAGTTTCATGGCATGAAGGTTCTGGATCATCTACTCATACCCAGAGTTACGCTTCCTCAAATCAATTTTCATGTTGACATAAATATCGTTTGCCCTTCATGCAGTCTGACCTTGTGGTAGTTTGAGTTATAATTTAATGGTTTTGATTTAATTTCAGAATATCAATAAATCTATTTAAATCATGAAGAATAATAAAAGGAACTGGTTCTCCAAAGTGTTCGAGAACACTATAAATTAATTTGTCTATTTTTCATATTTCAATGTACAATATGTAACTTAGGTCTGAGCCTTAAGGTCTGAGCTCACATCTTCAGAGATTTAGTTTTATTTCACCCACTGGGCCCAGATACAGTATACAGATGATGATGCTATATGATGAAATAAATTAGAAAAGCATCTCAGAGACTAAACAGTCAACCACAGTAAGCAAGGCAAGTTATCAAAGTACGGTCTGATCGCCAGATCGTTTGTAAATCTGGTTTCGAGTTGGTACAATACACAGATTCTTTAAGATCCACATTACAGCTAAATGCACTTAAGGATAAAAGTATTTCACAATGACCTACGTGACCCCGTCCTCCGTGTCTACTTTCCGTTCTGTAAATGTCGTCATAAAAGCTTTTGCCACTGCTCTGATTTACTGCCCGGACCACTTGCCCATTCCTGTCACACAACATGGCCATCATACTGATGAACACAGGTCCACGGGATCAATAGAGTTCGGAGTACAATGCATCAACCGAGCTACATGTTTGGGTTTCTTCTCATGCTCAGGATGGCTTTATTTCCATATGGCAGAAATGCTTTTAGCCACAAATTGTATTGGAGTAAGTGCACTTCGTGGACCATTAGGGAGGAGGTCCGTTTTGACGGAGCCTGGTTAGGAGGATCTTTAAAAGGTCGGGGGTCTCTATCGGAGGCCAACGATCTAATCCAAAAACAGACGGCTTTACTCTGTCTCCGAAGGAGGTAGAGGGGAGATGAGGATTAAATAGAGGTAACCCAATTAAGACTAGGCTGATGGAGTAAAAAACAGGGATTTAGGAGAAAAAGAGGGATAAGGTCAGGACAGAGTGAGTGTTGTCCTGTTGTGAGAGACGCTGAAGGAAGGTTTCCATCTAATTATGTAGAGTAAAGCTTGCTCGAGTTAAGTAATCCATCTGTGAACACAGTGTTGGACTCTATTTATGGTGGTCGCTGACGGGATACGGCTCCATGTCTGTGTTTACTGTCAATCTCACCTGTTGCCTGTCGCCGGCTCTGCTGCAGCAGCACATTGGCTGCGGTCCTTCCCTTCCTCCCCTGAATCTCTCTCTTCATTAACAACATCCATCCTTTCCTAACCTCCCCCCCCCCACTCTCTTGCTGCCTCAGCTGCCACTGCAGCACTAAAGCCTGGAAATATTCGAGGCAAATTAATGGGATGGCTGATCACACTGGTCGGACTGTTCGGCTTTGCCACTTGTGTTGTCTTAGATTTCTGGGAACTCTTGCTTATCTCTGGTCCAGGCTGTCTTTGCGCCTCCATGGACGAACCCCTTCTTGATTATTCCTGCAATGCGCACATGGATCGTGGACGTGGAGTTGTCTTCTATGTGGGGAAAAGCCAAGAACAATCCTTCTTCCTGTGCACCATCATGTTTTGATTCAGAGTGTGCATGAAGAGGAGGGGGCTGTACACAGATGGGTCCATTGTCAGTGTCAATGTTTTCGTGGGGAGGGGGTGGAGAGAGGGTTTAAGAAAATCAATGCACCACACAGCTCTACGACCAAATACGATTTTACCTGTTTGAAATAGTAAAACGGTAATAACGGTGAACATGACCCTTTGTTGGTGAACGGAAAGAAATCCACTCACATGAGTTTAATTCTATTTATAATCTACTATCCTGAATTGGTTTAGTCAATAATCATCCCAATTAGCTCAGGCTGAGTCTGGTTCTGCTGGTTTTTCCCTCCACTGTCTCCAATGTTTGCTCCTTGTGGGAACGGCTGGGTTTCTCTAACGTCCTGACCTTAGTCGGACCTCAGTAGTCTACCAGCAAATAAGAACACACGGAGCACCAGTCAAACTAGAATCACGGAAAAACCAAATATACAGTTGATGATGGAAATCTGAGGAAAACTGCACAAAAAATAACCTTCAAGATAAAAAACGGAAATAGCTGAACGATTCTATCCGTGATTGGCAGGTTTGACCGTTCACCTGACGTTTCCTTGACCATACTTTGCGGAGTCATTTACTAGATTAGCATTGAAAAAAGCAGTCGTTTAATCAATAAGTTGATTGGCAGGAAATCAATCAGCTGCTGTTCAGGTCCTCGATTAATCGATTCTTTGTTTTTCAAGCAAAAATGTCAAAACAATTCTCCGGTTCAGCTCAGCTGTGACACTTTATTGTGTTTCTGTGTTTTAAACCATCTTTACAAAAGATGAATGCCACACCCAAACTTTCTATTTACACCAACAGGCTGACAGGTTGTGTGATGACAGGTGTGGTTAACCCCTCCAACCCTCCTGGAGTGATGAACACCTCAAAGCAATTAACCAGAAGAAGAAGACGACGGTGCATCCCGAAGGGAAATACATCAGAATATCCACAAGACACTTTGGAGAAAAAAAAACCTTAAGACAGAACGAGACATTTGAAGATGCGACCTTGTGATTTGGAGGATTAATAGAGAAAATATCCTGCAGGTGATTCGAGAATGAAAACAAGAGTTGTCCTCATCACTTCAGAGGACATTACATTGACTTACCTTCATTATAAGTTATTACCTCGAAAAAATTTGATTCACGTAAGAGGGACATTATGGGACTTTTTGTCTCCATAACGTAAAAACCTGACATTTTAAGGTGAAGACCCGTTTAGAGTTTGGTTTCTGCAAGTAGGAATTACAATTAAGGTTATAATGAATGTATACAACCAATACTTACTGGAACCTAACCCCATCTATAACTTTAACACATGTCTTCACCTCAACATTGAATGATTTACCTTATTTGAGTTTTACAGAGATTCTTGTCCACAAATTATAAAACCAGATTCAGGTCCCAACAACATGAGAGCACACACCCACACCCACCCCCACACACACACACACACCCACACCCACAGGCCATGCACTGTTCTGTCCCAGAGCTGGTTGAACTGATGCTGAGTTTGCTCCTGTGGTTTTATATAAACTGTTGTGGGTCTTCAGATGTTCGCAGCACTCATATTAAAACATGTCTTTAAGAACTGATCCAGAGTCTGTCCACACAAGAACCAGAACACGCATCACACGCACTGAACGCGTGCTCCCGTCGTGCTCCCTGATAGGCTGCAGCACGGTCGCTTAATTGATTCCTTAACTGCCTCAATTACGCAGTAATGAATTACACCTTCAGATAAAGTGCAGGCGGTGACAGTTTCAGGTGAAGACGAGAGAGAGGAGAAAACTGTGGAGGCAAATCCAACATGTGCGTATTTCAATAGAAGTAAATCACGTGTGTTTGTTTCATGACCACAGAAGCAAAAACGCGTAAAAACGCACTTTTAATTAAGAAACGAAACTTTTTGTCAGAAAGCCACGCGCGGCACATCTCATTCAAACTCTCTTCACTTTAAACTTTTCAGTCTGAAGAAAATAAAACTGACTCAAACAACATGTGCAAGTTTCGGTTTTTTGAAAAACTCACCGCTCGAGCTGAGGAGGCAGAGATGAAGAAGAAAGAGCGAGAGGAACGGTCCGTGCGCCATGATTCACTTCTGCTGCTGCTGCTGCGTGTCTGTCGTATCCAGTCCGAAATAAAACTGAGCCGAGGTCTGAGGACGAGAAGTTACAGAGGAGGAGGAGGAGGAGGGAGGAGGAGGGAGGAGGAGGAGGTGGTGGATGAGAAAAGGTGGAAGAGAAGTGGAGGAGGAGGTGGTGGTGGATGAGGAGGAGGAGGAGGAGGGAGCTCAATTAAAGTCTCAGTCTGGCGGGCTCCTCCTATTGTTGCCCTGTGTTCATGTGTGTGTGTTGCAGCAGCAGCTTATCAGTGTGTTAACCTCCCCTCACACACACACACACACACACACACACACACACACACACACACACACACACACACACACACACTTCTTGCTGGTAGAAAGTCCTTAAGGTCGTGACTGAATAAGCATCTTATCGTGCCACCACACATTTTACCTCCTGAAATCTCATGAATCCACCTCCCACTTTGATTTGCATTTCCATGGAGGCTGGAGGTAAATGAGCACATTTAGATGTTGGAGTCTGAAATCAGATTCTTGATGGTCGGTGGGTGGAGGAGTGGTGAGAGGGGGAGGAGTCTGGACCCCAAAATCTGTTAAAAACCACTTCACTTTTCATCTGAACTTGTTAATAATCATTAGGATTACAAAGTATTGGATATGTCGAGTAAGAATAATGAATCTTCACTGGGTTTCTATTGTGTTTGCAGAAGTAACCGAGTGAAAAAAACCTTCAGAAGCATCAACTGCAGCTTGTTTTACAGACCGGTCGGTCAGTTTCAGAGACGTTTTGTTTGATTGTTGGGAACTCTGGGTGTTTTCGCACCTGAGAGTCAAGCTTCATGTCTTTGTTTGAATTTAAACTGGTTAGTTCTGGTTTGGCTCTGGGAGCAGACTGAAAACTTTTATTTACTGACGTCCTGTCATCATCACACGTAGCTCTGCTTCTACCAAACACTGCAGCTACTTCAGGCGCAGAACTCGACGCTAGTTCGATTGTAACAAATACAAATTCTCGTCGTTCAAACATTTTATATCGTCAGAGGTGATGATTGCAAAGATGTAGGAGAGACCTTAAGTTTCATTTTCTTCTTCTATTGTTTAATGCCGTCTCAACTTCCTGCTATTGGTCCGAACGTCTGAGTGTTGGGGACACAGTGAACTGACTTTGTCTCTAGACCTGAAAACTGTGACTTAAGACGTTGTTCATAGAGAAAGCTCTACACAGTCATTAATAAATGCTTTATAACCACTTCGTTATTTACTTAAGTAATATCAGAAACACAAGGCAAAAGTTTGAAGGTTCCATAGTTATGGAAATAACAAGGATCGGACAGTGAGACACCGTCCTCATGTTGTCCTCATGTTGTCCTCATGTTGTCCTCATGTTGTCCTCATGTTTGTGGATTAACTGACACTTGAGTGCGATCGCACACAAACAGCCTGGTGTTTGTTTGCTTGTTTGTTTGACACAGCGACAACTCGTCTCTCTGCTCAAACTCCCCCCCATGGATTAACTGATGCAACAACTACTGAGTACTACTAACTGACCGTATATATATATATATAGAAAGATCACCAACAATACTACTGCGCTCAATTCCTACGTCTTCTGATTCTTCTCCCGCCACTGTCATCACTTTAACAATCTTTAGAATGAGACTCAGACTATTTGACATGTACGTGCACATACACCAGGAATTTGACTGTGGTGTTAACTGCGCTCAGTGTTTTTACACAAATAGACAAACAGTAAAAACACAAGCTATTAAAATATACCTAACTACTTGTCTGTTTACTAAAGTCTTTAATCAGATAAATCAAACACTGATATGGATTTGATTGTTGTTAATCAGGCTACAAAATAGAACAAGGTATATTTGGACTTTGGTTGATTTATTTCCTTGCGATCTGATTGTTGTTGGTCAGGTGTCGGCCCAGAGGAAGCTGTCACAGCCATATATCACGAGCTGGTCTCTAATCTTCTGGCCGAGAGATATTTAGTCGTACTTCGCTCCAGGCTTAAAACTCGAGGAGTCTTTGAAGCCTTGCAGCTCAAGACTCACTGGTAGATTTGACTTCATTGGAATTAGTTTATTTATCAGTCTTATCTTTTGTTGTTTACTGCAGTGTTCTTGTGACGTCTGCTCTTTAAGTTTATCCCAGAAAGAAACTTTACTTATCTTTAGAAACTGCATTTTAACAAGGTCGTCAAGCAGCGAGCTGTCGAACCACATTTGATGATGCAGTTTTTCTTCCAGCTGTTTCTAACACCCACACATTTTCTTTTTACTGGAAACATGTATTTAAATCCATATTCTCCTCACTAAGAAGCAACCGAGACAATAATATTAGCATATCTTTCAACACTGGAATAAATTAGGGACGTCGCCGGAGTGAGGACGGAGCTCAGGTTAGACAAACTGGACGTCTTCCAGTGAAGTGAGCAGGCCTCTGGTGTTTACATCGCCAACTGTGGAGCCACCTTGGCCAACAGCTGCAGCAGAGAGGCCTCCTGGAGCGGGTCGCACAGCTGCCCAGCTCCCGTCATACATGAGCCCACAGCCGCGGACGCAGCACACGCATTAGACATGGAGACGGAAATCTTGTGGTTACACAACACTTGCGGCTCGCTATAGGTTTACCACAGAGAGCTTTCAAACATAATGTCGTGGAGTGTGGGGCACTCACGCTCAGGAACTGTGACACTCCAGTGGACTTGTGGGTAATAAAAGGCAGGAACACTCTCACTTTCGGTTATTACTCATCGAAAAACAAAAAATAATTCAAAAGTTTACTTTTACATCTTGCTGTACTTGTATGAGATTATAATTATTGTGTTTTGGCTCCTTAATATTAGTTGCTAACATTCTTATAATACATGTGGTAACGTTGATGCAGGGTTTCAAGAGGCAGTGTTTGGAAAGTGCTTGGTGGGAAATGGCTTTTATCACAGTGAGATAAATAAAAGTGACACGGAGAAATGTTTGCTCTCTTTTCTATGGAGCCGTTGGCTTTGGAGGAATGTGGAGATAAATTATCACGAATGTATTTCAACCCAGTGCTTCGTCTGAAAGTGAAGCAACCTCTCTTTGTGTTGCCTCAGGGAAGGTGAACATGGCCTCCATGTGGTGTTCTCAAAGATTTTGTTCTTCATTAAGAGCCACAAAGAGCAGAAAGTGTTTCACAACAAAAAGGCCAAAAATAGATCCAAGTTTTAAAAGCACAAACTAGGCTCTAAAAGATTCCTGCAGAACATTGTTCACCACCGCGGCCAAAAGATTAAACAATTAGATTAGACACATTAGCCTGTGGACGGATGAACAACTGACAGATACAACAAGCTATCAAGATGGTGGTAATGCAGAGACTATATAATAATAATGATGCTATACAAACCGAGCAACACGACAAAAACAGGACTTGGACTTTGTTGTCGGTCCGCTTGTTGTAGACTTTCATCTGTGGATCCATCATGTTGATGCGTTGAAGAACATGACGGCTGAAATGAAATGCTGGACACTCAACCAATCAGGTATTATTCGCATGGCAAGCCCCACCCCAAGGGTTGTGGTACTTTCACAAACTCTCTGTGGCGGAGGTGATGGAGACTGAAATACGGATGAGAGCTCACAAAGTTGGAAAGAACCATTTTTGTCACTTCATGTTGTGTAACAGACATTTAGTCTTCAATCCCTGGAGAGACTGTAGGAGGTCTGGACTCAAGCATGGGAACAACTGAGCATCAGTGAACGTGTCGCTCTGACGGACTGACCCTCATATCTTCACCAGGTTCAGCCCCAGATCCATCACAGCTCAATCAGCATTAGTCAAATCAAAATAAACCAAATCTGAGCCTGATGGTGAAAAGAGGACGACGGCAGCTGCAGAAGTAAACGTGAATCTCGCCGCTCGTATCAGGGAATATTTGGTTTGGATTCCAGCCAAGTTCTCTCCACTCTGGAGGAAACCATCTCTCACATGAAATCTATCTACGCCTCACTCACGAAGACGTGATTATAACCAGGCTCCTCTCGAGAAAGTTATTTTTCCCAACTGTCGGCCAACACATTTTCTCTTTTGTTAATAGCAGTGGTTCACTAAGTGCTGGCTCTCTCCTCCTCACCCCCCCGAGCGTGCCCTAGTTATCTCATTCCTGAGGAATCTCGGCTCAGACTCCGTTTGATGTGTAGAAACTCTCACCACTCAGCACTTTTACTGGAAATCTCAAGATAATTTCTATCTCACTCGTTTCTCAGGTGACGGTCGCACACATTCATTCCATCAAAACTAGAAACACAACTCTGAGATGGGGACAAAAAGGCCCAGTTGGGCCGCATGTGTTGTTTTTCAGTGTCTTGTGCGATATCAGTAAAATGTTGAAAAATGTGACTTTGTCGTGTGTGAACAGCTCCGCAGCAGAAACAAGGCTCTTCTTCACAATTTCTCGTGAATGAGGTTTTAGCGATTATCTCACTCACCACAGAACTTGCCTGTGTAACGTTGTCTCTGCACCAAAACTGCACCAAAGAGCTTTAATTTGTCCTTGTAATGATTCCAGTGCAGCCGCATGTTTCCAACTGTGATGAAGCCAGAGTTTGGTCTTTTTCATCACTGTAACCACATCCCTGCAGACTGGGCCCACTGGCTTTTCTCTTACTTCAACAGCTCAGGAGGAAGCACCATGGAGGACGTGTTAGTCTAATATTAAGTGATTCTCTTTCATCACAGGAAAAATGATTGAGACCTTTTCTCTTTGTTTCTGAGCTGCTTTTATGAAACGTCAATATGGTCGGATCACTCTGTTTCAGAGTTATAGAATTATTATTAACTTAATAATGTTAGAACACATTTCTAATCACTATGTCAATTTCTAATTATGTATCACATTGATACAACAAAAAACAATGAAGCTAAATGTTATAACGTGTTATTTATTTATACCATTCAAATATAATTTGACAGGGAAACTAAATATATATTGTTGTAAAATACTAAATACTTCAGTGACCAAGTATTACTTCATAAACCTCGGACACGGTTTAGAAAACGTTTCATGAAACTCAAGTCGGCAGCTTTACTGTCTTCATGTTGACTGATGGTTCTGTGATATCGCAGTAAAATTTGTATTGTTCAGTTTCTCT